TCTCGTGACCAACCAAACACAGTACAACCGCTGGCCGCCAGAGGTCATCGAAGCCTGAACCTAAAAACGGTTCAAATGTAACTTGGGTATAATTCTGGCTGAATTAGCAGCTTAGTTTTGAGGTTGTGTTCAGTTACTGGAAGCCGCTACATGCAGAATTTATGAGGAGTGTTAGTTGTGGGTTATATAGAATTAAAAAAATTGTAAGCTGTGAAGTTATATTGTAAGCATCATAATTGTTTTCCGGAACTTCCGGTATGTATATGTTTGTTTAAGCGGTGTAATTATTGTAACAGTTGTACAACTGTTTGCAATTCTCATCTGTTAGACTTTATATTGATGTAAATTATCAATGTTTATATACTTTTTAATCTATACTAGTCTGTATACACAGATTTTAAGGAAATTGCATATTTTGCTTCCTTCCATAATGTCTTATTTACGCAGTTTGTTCTTGTTTTATGCAGGAGGGATCCTTGGCGAAGCTGCCCAAAATGTCAGCATTAGGAAGCGTCTGGACCTGGGAGACGAGGAGTGCACCTTCGATCCCATGGAGGGATTCAGTTTTGTTGACCTCTTCAGCTTCCATTGTGACTATCCAGAGCAGCTTTCAGGTTTCCCACTTAAGTTTGAAGTCTATCAGACTCCGGACCCAAGCCACCCAGAGACAGGTGAGATAAGTCATCATGATACTTTAAAACCTTTCATTGTCTCTTCTTTCTCCTCCTGTCTTCTGTTTTATTTTCACACTTCTCTTCTTCTCTTCTATCTTCCCTTGTCTCTTCTCTTTTCTTCTCTCTTCTCTTCTCATTTGTTGAACAAAGCACCGAAGTCAGTCTGCCTGTAAACTTTCCATTCATCACCATTTCCAAATTACTCATACATGTTATATTCAGGTGCAGCCATTGTAACGGATGGAACATCATATCCACATGAAATAATAACGTTATCATTTTTTTCTTTGCAGAGATTCTGATTTCATACCCCCCCAAGCCAGAAGACACTGGTCTTGTATTGATGGCCGGGAAGCCCGACACCTACAAGACAAAAATCTCTCTTCGAATAAAGGATCACTCTGGGGAGATCCTGAGGAGGCACATAGCAGACGTTACTGTGAGTGCAGTCTAAATTTACGGCTTTATGAAAGTCATATTTGCTTCTTTGTTTGTATCTTCAAGTAATTTCTTCAGTTGTGTCTCATCCATGGCCATATTCTATACGTATTCTTAAATTCAAGCCCCATTAAGAAGTAATTATATATGTTTTATTCCCCTGTGCATTAATAGCCAGACTTACAAAATGAATGATTATATAACTTGGCATTTGATTGCTTTTGAAAGTTTTCTTTTTTGGAGACTTGTATTTCTGACAGTTATCTCACACAATTTGCAATATAACTAACTAACTGACTAACTAAGTAACTAACTAACTAGATGGCTTACCGAATCTGAAGGTTCATCACCGACTTAACCAAAGCCCTCCACTGGACCCTGTGCTGGGAAAACAAAATCCAGTCTCCTTCAACTCCTATCTCCCATAGATCCTGCTTGACATTATCCTCCCATCTATGTCTAGGTCTCCCCAGTGGTCTCTTCCACTCAGGCTTCCTGACCAACACCCGGTGCATACCTCTTGTCCCAGGTTATCACTCCCATAAGTGGGTAGAATTGTATAACAAATTCAGACAGACATACCATTTCTGACAGTTTTCACACACAATTCGCAATATAACTAACTAACTAACTAGATGGCTTACTGAACCTGAAAGTTCATCACCGTATTAACCAAACCCTACACCGGACCCTGTCCTGGGCCAACAAAATCCAGTCTCCTTCAACTCCTATCTCCCATAGATCCCGCCTGAGATTATCCTCCCATGTACGTCTAGGTCTCCCCAGCGGTCTCTTCCCCTCAGGCTTCCCAACCAAAACCCGGTGCACACCTCTTGCCCCATCCTTGCTTGCTACATGCCTAATTTTCAGCCTAACAAAATATATTTTGTAGGTATGATTTGAGGTATTTGTAGTCCAGTGTTCTCTCCCACTAATTTGGCTGCGATTGTCCAAGGATCGTCGCCCGATCCTCGACATAACCTTGTATAGTCCATCGAGTTCCTAACCCTCCTCAATCTAGCCCTGAAGATGGATTATGTTTCTGTGGTGATAAGACTCCATGGTGCAACAATGCCGATGACCACTACCTCATGCTTTTTGTGAGTTGTTGCACCAGAGACTATTTCTAGAAAACATGAAATAAAGAGTTGCAATTAGTGTTATTTCATTGTATATACTGTAACGTACTTTATGATGATAAAGAATTTTAAATGGTAGATATTTATTGATTTTCGCTTGTGTCAGGTTAAACCAATGGCGCAGTCTCCAGGAAACACTAGCGTAACAACAGTATGCAAGGATGTGATTTCTGGAATAGTTGATGGGAAATCACTAGGGAACTACATCAAAGATGGAGACTTCTCTGGTAAGTAATCATATCTGAACAGATTTTCAAAAAGTCTTTTTAATTTTTTAACATGTATGAAAATTTTGGTAATTCAGGCCAGAAATACAACAGATACCAGGCAACTGACATTGTTGTACTGGAAATGTAATATCTTTCTTAAAATAATTGATACCTGTTTGTATAATTCTGTATTTGTTCTCATTCATCTTTACATAAGGTACACGTGTAATTTAATATGTTTCATTACATTTTAAAATCTCTTTTCTGTTATTGTGTTCTGTCTCAGGTGCTGGAAGGATCATCGCTGCTATGGCAGTTGCTATGGATACAAGTGAGGATATTAACGAGGAGGACAAGCGGATATTGAAGGAAGAGTTTATAAATGCTCTCGATCAGGTACGTTGATTGATAGAATGTCCCACTGGCTAAAATGTTTTTTGGTATAAATTTGGGTTTTTCATCTGTGCTTCTGTGCAAACCAGTAGTTATTTGGTCATGCATTAAGGATTCTGTTGACATTTTAGAGTAGTAATTTATGTTAAAGTTAAAAAAACTTATTTGTCATAACGTGGAGAAACGGTCGTTTTACATATTTGTGGTACAAATATTTTTTTAGTGTTTTTATAACAAATTTTAAATTTATGTTGTGATTTGTTCTGTACACCTTTTTTTGTTTTTGATGTCCATAAATAGTTTCTAAATCATCACCCATCTTCAGTATTCTTCCTAGCGCTTGACTTACCGACCTGTTATAGTAATTATTGAGTCATACATTTATAGACTTTTGCAGGTTTTCCTAAGCATTATGTTTATCTGAATTTATTTTTTATGTGCATTTTATGAGTCCTGACAAATCTCCTGTTTATTTTATAGTGTAGTGTGTTATCTGTTATTCGTTAAATTTGTATTCGTTTCTTCGTATCTTCTTTTATAATCAAGAATTACGTTACTTGCCGTGTGTCTCGTAAAACGTCCTCCAGGTGGTATTTATGTCCGCTGTCATAGTAAGTGCTTTATACATGTAGATTTTCATATGTCTCAAGACTAAAGAAAGTTTAGCGATGTATTACAATAGATAGGCAGTGATAGGGAGATAAGATGTAGTTCACGCGGTGCCAGCTCGGAAGCCACATTCAATGTTATTGATTTTAATTCAGATTCCAGTGGATTATGACTCGTCTGGGAAGCAAGTTGTATCGGTGCTCAATCTGGTTCTAGGAGCAGGAAATAGGAATGACACCCCTGTCATTCCACATGGAACTATTCTCACTTCATCCCACATTTTGGAGAACATCATGAACAGCGTTTATCATGAAGTTACAGATCCGAATTCGGGGACGCAAATGTCTAGTTCAGAACTCATGAATACTTCAAGGTATGGACTGCATATCGTCTCATTTCTTACTTTTATCTTTATATGATGCATCCAGCATTGAATCCTGTAGTGAAGCGCTGGTGACTGGGTCATTACTGTACAAGTTTCCCATATGGTTTACAACAGTTCTTATTTTAACTTGACTTATTTGAAACCAATCTCATGTTGTAGTATGACAGCATGTAAAAGAACCTTACTAGCATGATACAAGATGTTTCGTATGCAAAATTCAGCGGCCATTTCTCACCCAATTCTCCTGATTAACTGCTAGATGGCT